TGTTGGCTGGGCGAGCGTCTGTTATCATCCTCAACTTGGTCTTGGACGACTTCCAAACAAAGAAAACTCCAATCTCGCACTTGGGCTGGGTAGTGTATACAAAGTAGCCTATTTGATGCAACCGCTTCACCAGCCTGTGGTAGGCACGAGGGTTGTGCCTCAAGGCTGGATCCCAGTACGCCTGAGAATTGGTCTCCTCCACCTCTATCACCGGCTTCAACATCAGCTCTCTTTCCTGCTCCAGAAAATGATGGTCGTGAGGAAGCAAAACATCCTGGAGGTCAGGACAGCCTGTGATGTCCTGAGGAATGCTCACGAGCTCATACCGGTAGGGCGCTAAGTTCTCATTGGGGGTACTCATATCATATGGAGTACCACCTCTGAGCAGCGACCTAAGTGCTGTCACCAGACCATCCACACGTGCCATGACTTGTCGCTGTAGATCATCGCATGCAGAACCATCTGGGCATCCATCGGGAAACCCAGCAAGCCAGTTGAGTCCAGCAATGGCCTCATTGCAATTCTCCACAACTCTACAAATTCGATCTCTTCTCTGCTTGACAGGTCGAGAAACTCCAGCCTGGAAGTGGTGTGTCGACGCATTCAAGCAATTGTCGACGCATATAGTCACCCATCGAAGCCGTCATGGGAGAATGCCGCAGTGGCCAAGGTACTCCCGAGCACATTGTGAGCCCGACCTTCAGAACTTATGCGGCCAAGAAGAACAAGGATGAACTTGAGCTGCTGCCGGCTCGTCAGAAGGTTAGGGAACTGAAAGGATCACATGCAGTGGAGGAGGGAGATACAGTTGACGCCCTGCCCAACAAGCCACCCCGCGGCCCAAAAGCGAAAGCAAAGGCGGCTAAGAAGGGTGGTGGAGGGCAGGCCGAGTCGTGAACCATGACGCCAGGGAGGAAGATATGCCCTCGTCCTCTTCTCATGAGCCCATAGAAAGGAGGGCAGCGATGGAGCAGCCTGGTGCCGCAGCTAAAGCCAGTCGCGGTGAGAGATCTGTTTTTCCATTGCCGTTTTTTGCATGTCCAGCCAAGAAAGCTCCAGGGCAGGAATGTTCAACTGATCAAATGTTCCAGCATAAAGCAGGCAGTCTGTCAATACCTTGAGTTCATGATGCACCCTGCCTGTTGGCTCGATGTGTTTGGTGCGGCACCAAAGTTGAAGCCACAAGCCTTTCAGAGTGCTTGATGAGATGCAAAGCGGTGGCTGGTCCCTCCAACGGTTTCTCCTCAAAGGTCGGTGTGAACGACTCTTTCACCACATCACGCCAACGCTTAAACCTCTCACCATGCTCATCAAAATCGACCCAGAGAGTTCTCACCTCTGAATCGTCTGAATCCACAGGCTTAGATCCACTGGCTTCCTTGTCATCTGAGCTTGCAGCAAAAAGGGCTCTGCGACGCTGAGCATAGTCTGCTGCCTCTGTAATGCGCACCATCTCAACCTTGACATATTCACCCTGTCTAAAAGCCAGCGCCACTCTGTCACCACATTGTACATCCGTTTCCTCGTTCAAGGATACTTCCTGGCCCAACTTGAGTCCTCCCAGTGGTTCGCTTGCCAGCCAAACACTGTCGCCCACTGCTCGTCTCACTATCTTGGCATTCTTGGGGGTCCCGCCGTCGACCGCAACGACAGCGCCGGATCCAGGGATCGACTGCTGCCACTGAGGGACGAGGGCACCCCCGAAGAAGGCCTCCAGTGTCTGAGGCTGCCCACTTTCATCAATGATCTCAGTGGGAACTGGCGGACTGAGCCGAGCATCTTCGGCTAACTTCAGAGCATCAAGAGCGACAGGCTTGATCAAGTCGTTGGTGATGGCCCCTCTGAAGCGATAAGCTGGGGCACGCAAGTTGCGAGGCAGAGTCAGTCTGGGGCCTAAGCTCCTAAGCTTGATGGGTCCACTGGCCCGGTCATAGGTCAAGTTCTCCACGTAGGGATCACCATCTGGAGTGTAAATAACTGTCAACTCTGAACTGACCACAAGTCCTATCATCATCTCATGCCAAACGTTATCACCTGCATACCAACCAAGAATCCTTCTACCTGGGGCTAGGGAATTCAAGCACGCCACCCCCGTGGCGTCGGCCGCGGTCGTGTCCATCTCTCACTTTCCCAGCACTATTCAAGTAAATTGCCAACCCAGTCAACAGACTACCACTGATCAGTCCTGAAACCCCCACTGCCAACAACAGAAAGCTACTATCAACTACTGGCTGAGGAGGATCCTGAGTGCAATTGCAGAGAACTTCAATCGTGTCGATGGGAGCACCACAGGATTTGGACGTCTCACGAAGGACTATGGCAAAAACCTGGATCGCAAGGGCACTAAGAAATTTCATCCTGAGCCCAGGTTCTTGAAACAGTGGCGATAATCATTTCCAAGCTTGCATTTGTGTCAATCACGTGTTTCACACAACTATGGCCTATAGGAAAGTTTTTTGGATGCAGAAGCACTGAAGTGTTGAAGTTGCGCGGTGCATCAACGAAAGAGCAAATGGTGCTTGAGGTGCCAATGAAATGACATAAAAGAATCCATACACAACTGACTGAATGAACCAATGAACCAGTGAACCAATAAATCATCCCCCTTGCAATTTCCCTTACAATATCATGGGGGTCGGACCCCCAGTCCATAGGGTTTTTCACCTTTGATTTTGTAAGGAACCCACCTTACAAAATCATATCCTAACCCCTAAGGATGAAGGGTATAACATCATTATGGAAGATAGGTGGACATATGGCAAGATGGATGGTCTTGATTTTGTAAGGGTACCAGGCCCCCTGGGGGGGGGTGCCAAAATGGTCCCATTTTTACAAAATTTGGAGAGATTTTTGAGCCAATTTTACACAACTTTGGGGTTGATTTTGTAAGTATCCATATGTTTCTAATTTGTTTCCATGGTAAGGTTTGATTTTATAAGGTGATTTTATGTTGTATTATATTTGAGTAATTTTGAAATATTTTGAATATATAAATGTTCCATATCCACAACATGGGTTTTGATACTCGCCGTTTTGACAAAATATACTCTAAAAACCTTATAAAATCATGGCACATTATGAAATCAAACCCTGGGGGTATAGGGGGAAAGATCATGTTACAAAATCAAGGGACCAGACCTGAATCCTTATAAAATCAGGCTCATTACAAATTCAAATGGTGTTTTTGGTACCAAATTTTATGATTTTGATATGACTTTATTTCCCCACCTGCCAGGTGAGGGTTGTTAGATTTTATGTCAGTTGCCTCCTCCTGCCTCCTGCCTCGTCCTCCTCCTCCTCCTCTCCTCCTCTCCTCCTCGTCCTCCTCGTCCTCCTTGTCATCCTTGTCGTCCTTGTCGTCCTCGTCGTCCTCGTCGTCCTCGTCGTCCTCGTCCAACTGCGACCCGCGATCCACAGTGTTCTCTGCGGACCTCAACCACGACCATCCACGCCCAGTGTTCCCTGCCGGACCTCAACCACGACCATCCACGCCCAGTGTTCCCTGCCGGACCTCAACCACGACCAGCCACGCCCAGTGTTCCCTGCCGGACCGCAACCGCGAGTATCCACGCCAAGTGTTCCCTGCCGGACCTCATGTAGGAAGATATGGGACAAAGAATGTGCAGAAGAAAGTTAGAAAGAATGTCAGAAAGAATGTCAGAAGATATGTCAGAAGATTTTTCAGATAGAATGCCAAATAGAATGCCAGATAGAATGCCAGAAGATATGTCAGAATATATGCCCAGAAGATATGCCAGATATGCCAGATAGCCAGATTGAATGCCAGAAGATATGTCAGATAGAGTGCCAGAAGATATGCCAGATAGAATGCCAGAAGATTTGCCAGATAGAATGCCAGAAGATATGCCAGAAGATATGCCAGATCATATGCCAGAAGATATGCCAGATAGAATGCCAAATAGAATGTCAGAAGATATGTCAAATAGAATGCCAGAAGATTTGCCAGTAAGAAAATGTATAAATGTCATGGTGGGGATCACACGAAGTAAAGTAATTTTTTGCCTTGAATTAGGGGGTTAACTGCTCTGTAAAAATACATGTTCAGTCTTGATTTTGTAATGATAACCATGCTTGGAAAGGTCTGGTACCTTTGATTTTGTAATGATGGATACCCCTGTCTGAGGGTCAGGCCCCAGCTTTGTACTTACAGAATCAGGGGGTGCGACCTTCACACTGAATTGCAAGGGGGATAATAAATCAAGAAAACAGTGAGTCAATGAAGCAACGAACCAATGACTCAATGAATGCGTTAGCCAATGAATCAGTGAGTGAGTGAGTGAGTTAGTGAGTCGATGAATCAATGAAACAATGAATCAATGAACCGGCGAATCAATGAAGCAGTGAACCAATGAATCAATGAACCCATGAATCAAATGAATCAATGAAAAGCAAAGAAGCAATGAACCAATGAGCCAATGAACAGTCAATGAGTCAATGAACCAATGAACGAATCAAACAGTGGATCAATGAACCAATGAATTAATGAAGCATTACAAGTATGAATCAACAAGCCAATGAAGCAGCGAAGCAATGAATCAATGAATCAAGGATCTTTGAAGTAACACAAACTCAACGACCAGTGAATCAAGGAACCAGCGACTCACTGAATCAACGAATCCATGAACCAATGAATCAATGAATCAAGGAACCATGAATCAATGATTCAATGAATCAATGAGTGAACCAATGGATGAACTCATGGATGAGTGAGCCATTCCTTGTTGGGCTACTCCTTCACTGAGCGACTTCTACGCTGAGGTACCTATTCTCTTCTCTCAGCTACTTCTTCTCTGACGCTCTGAGCTGCCTCCCAGCTACCTCTTCTGTAGCTTCTGCAAGCAAATCATTTTCTTCGCGCAGCTGTTACAATGCGTCTAGCAACCTCCAGCTGCAAATCTCGCATGTCTGATACCCTTAGTTTAGCAGTTTTTCAGCCTGAAAGCTTCGGTCGGGCCATGCCGGTGAAGTAAAAGGGGTTGATGCTCCCCTGCGGACGGACGAGGTCTCATTTGGAGATCATTGGAGGGAAAGTGCCATCACTTACAATGGGGTTGACATGATGACGTGGTTGACATGATGGCGTGATTGCTAACCATGAGCATCGCCAGAAATTTGGAAGTTTGCAAAGTAAACTTCCTTTGATGAGTGAGATAAGTAGGGTTAATCATGGTTAATACACTTTTGCTGCAACTAGGCCCTCAATTTGGTGCCATTGTTACTAGCTCAATCTGATGCCCTGGGCCGCCCAGGACAATGGCGCCCGGTTGTCGATGCTGGTACCTTGGCGGATTCAGAAACCAGCCCTCCGGATCCCTTAGGAGGTCAACATCGCTATGGAACATGTGGCAAATGATATGTGTGTGTATATATACATAGTATGATATATGGGAAGATAAATTATAAACACTTATATACATGTATATAAAAGACAATTCACATTGATTCACCTTTTTTCCACATGGGGACTTTCCATTGCATGAGGCTAGTGGAATGTGTAGAAACTATTCATATTGATTTACTTGTATTACACAAGGGGATTGTCCATTACATGCGGCTAGTGGCATGTGCACAAACTTGCATCATAACATACAAAAACTTCTGGATGCTGCCAATGCTGGAGGTTGTGACATGAAATAGGAGTTGATTCCTGCGCAAGTGGCAAAATGAGCATGGACAAGAATGTGCGATATAATTTGCCTGAACAACATGGTGCCCCACAAGTGAATGGCATGTTCTAAAATGCAAAGCGACCAGATCATTTTTACAGTAATTGAAAAGGCTCAAATTCTTTATCTCTAGTTTTCTTCTGTTGAGACAGGTGAATTCTCAGCCATCAACGCGCTACAAATGGTGGTGCCTGGGGTTGCGCCCCGCTTAAGATAAAGTTCTCCGACGGCTGCAGTGCCGGCCTCAAAGCGACATCCACTGCCTGCTTTTAATGTGAGATGGCCATGGCTGAAGATGATATACATACATACATGCATGCATGCAGACAGACATACAGACAGACATACAGACATACAGACAGACATACAGACAGACATACATACATACATGTAGGTAGGTGGGTAGGTAGATAGATGGATAGGTAGATAGGTAGGCAGGTAGATAGGTAGATAGGTAGCTAGGTAGCTAGGTAACTAGGTAGATAGATGGATAGATGGATGGATGGATAGATAGAGAAGATAGATAAGATAGATAAGTTAGTTAGTGTCTTAGTTAGTTAGTTAGTTAGTTAGTTTAGTTTAGTTTAGTTTAGTTTAGTTTAGTTTAGTTAGTTTAGTTAGTTTAGTTAGTTTAGTTAGTTAGTTAGTTAGTTAGTTAGTTAGTTAGTTAAGTTTAGTTAAGTTAAGTTTAGTTTAGTTTAGTTTAGTTAGTTAGTTAGTTAGCTAGCTAGCTAGCTAGTTAGTTAGTTAGTTAGTTAGTTAGTTAGTTAGTTAGTTACTTCGTTCGTTAGTTAGTTAGGTAGTTAGTTAGTTAGTTAGTTAGATAGATAGATAGATAGATAGATAGATAGGTATATAGATAGATATATAGATAGGGGGATATACAAACACACACACAGACAAACACGCATATACAAATATATGCACATATATATATTTATATATGCTATACACACATGTTCTTGTACATTGAACGTGACCAAAATTGTGGGTTGTTTGGCAGGCCCAATTCTGGTTTAAAACATTTGAAGTTGCTGAAAATAGAATGTCTTCTTCATCTAAAAAGGTATGGCAACACCTCGGGTGGCTATGGCTACGGCGTCAGCACCACGAATCCATATGGCTATGGCAACCCATCCGGCTATGGCAACACCTCGGGTGGCTACGGCTACGGCGTCAGCACCACGAATCCATCTGGCTATGGCAACCCATCCGGCTATGGCAACACCTCGGGTGGCTACGGCTACGGCGTCAGCACCACGAATCCATATGGCTATGGCAACGCATCCGGCTATGGCAACACCTCGGGTGGCTATGGCTACGTCAGCACTTCGAACGCCTATGGCTATGGCACTTCCTATGACTCGGGTTCTGGCGGCTACGGCTACAACACCTCGTATCCCTACGGCTATGGCACTTCCTATGACTCAGGTTCTGGCGGCTACGGCTACAACACTTCGTATCCCTACGGCTATGGCACTTCCTATGACTCGGGTTCTGGCGGCTACGGCTACAACACCTCGTATCCCTACGGCTATGGCACTTCCTATGACTCAGGTTCTGGCGGCTATGGATACACCTCGTATCCCTACGGCTATGGCACTTCCTATGACTCGGGTTCTGGCGGCTACGGCTACAACACCTCGTATCCCTACGGCTATGGCACTTCCTATGACTCAGGTTCTGGCGGCTATGGATACACCTCGTATCCCTACGGCTATGGCACTTCCTATGACTCGGGTTCTGGCGGCTACGGCTACAACACCTCGTATCCCTACGGCTATGGCACTTCCTATGACTCGGGTTCTGGCGGCTATGGATACACCTCGTATCCCTACGGCTATGGCAATGGCACGGGTACCGGATTCGGTGGCGGCAGTCTCTCGCTGTGTTTGGCGTTCAGTGACAGAAACCAATGAATTTGTTGGCATGTTGTTGCCATTGCCTTGTGAAACCAGCCCTCCCTAGCCTCCAGCGTCTCTCTTTAAATTGCATTGTTTCAAGCAGCAACTTGCACTGCAGAAGTTTCAAGGGCTTTTCTCTGCCACGTCCACGTAGCAATGCACATGGCTCTGCCGCGGTTGCTCAGGCTGGGTGGAATGCCCAGAACAGTACTGCTGGCCATCAGTCTACACCGCCGATGGAGAAATTGATTGGGATGCGACCTACCAGGCGGGAAAGCGCCGATTCGCGGTGCGATCGACGATGGGAGTTGGCTCACTTATCGGCTCACTGTTTCACAGTGGCGCCCTAATGGGGTTCTGGGTCTGTGTGGGTTAGTGATGGTAAGTGGTTTTGTGCCTGCTGATGAGGTGGTGATTGGTTTGAGGTGCAGGTCCAGTTATAAGCGGATATCACCATGGTTACAGGGGACCCATGTCCCAGCAAACATCGGATTGAAATTCCCAGAGTTGGCTGGTTGATTGATGGACCGGTCAACCAAGAACTGATGGAGTGTTTTTCAACGTGCGAAACGGAGCGACAACAGCATGCCAAGTTGTTGCCCAAGGGATGACAGAAGCAGAATCTGAGGAAAATGTTGATACCCTCTTTGCCCAAGGTATCGACTCAAATGCTCCAAAACATCAATCACAACAGAAATGGTGTGAAGATATGGGTGGATAACGGTGGCCAGCAAGGCTATGGTGCAAGAAGCCACCAGGCTTGGACATTGAAGGGTGCCTGGCTTGTACGCTTGCATTGCACTTTAAAAGATTGGTTTGTGTCCACTCAGCAATGACGACTCGCGGCAAGCGTTTCAGCCGGCAACAGTGTGACAAGTGCCAGTGTAATTGGGAATGACTTAGCATGACTTAGCCGGTTGCTAGTCCAAATTGCCAGCGAGTGAATGCTTGAGCGAGTGATGGAAGGAGTGAACGAGTGAGCGAGCGCAACAGTGGATGACCCTCTTTTGGTGCCTGACCCTTGTTCTTTCCAAACGTGCTTTGGAAACAGACAACCTGACTGGCTCCCAACTTCGTCACAACTTGGTGGTTCTGTGTTGGGAATTTGCTGGCACTGGTGAGGACTTCATAAGGAAGATGAGCATCGTTCAATGCGGGATTGCACCAACAGATTCACCAACAAAATAAACTCGGTGTGGATGGCATAGAACCAGCACAAGTATACAAAAGTGCAATTCCTCAAGACAAAAATGATGCGACATCCCAATTTGTGCCGGGATCTATCACCAGCTCCACAAAAATCAAACTCCGAACTTCGCCATTCTTACTCAAACATATCCATTTTCTTGGGTATGATATGGTATGATTCCTCCCATCCCCATATTCAGTCTGTGCTGCCCTGTAGGTCACCGACTATACCTGTGCCACCTGGGAAGACGGATGCCCTTGCAACGAGCAGTGGGAGGTCCAGTGTGAGAGCTGGGGCTACAAGGCAGGGCTGCAACATCTCCAACTCTCCAACTGTTTTTTTTTCCGGAGTTTGGAAGTTGCTTGCGAGGAGGACTGTAGCTATCACTGGACCCCATTTAGCAACTTGACAGCCTTGACCGGCCGCTGCAGTCGTGCTACCCAAAGACAGAGGGCTGCTATGATCCCTTTGCAATCGAGTGTTGCTTGGCAGCACCTTTGGTGGATCTGATGAACCACTGGTGCCGAATTTGAAGTTGTGCTGCATGCTTTGGAAACCAGTGACATGTGTTTTCCACTCAGCATTTACTAGCTGGGATGGTCATGAAGTCATGAAGTCATGCATGTCACAACATCGAGGCAATGAAGAGACAGACCCTGGCCTGCAACATGCACTGCCTTGCCGCAGTTGTTTGTAAAGACTCGGTGAGATGAGAGGATTGTGCACGTATAATTTGTATAATCACACGCACACACAGATATATATATATATTATAGGTACCCGATGGTACCAGTAGGATCCAGTATGTGCATACAGATTTCTCTGTGTCTATACATGCATATACACACACGCATATGCACATGCATAGATTCCATGGCACAGCATTTCGAACTGGTGGCCGTTTGCCGCAATTCGTGACTTCTGTCTCTAAGGAGCACGTGTGCAAGGACGAGTGGTCTGCCTACTGCTGGGACAAGTCTTGGGGAAGCTGCCCGGTCACGTGCACCTACGAGGAAACTTATTGCTATTCCTATGTCTACGATTCTACAGGACTGCTGTGTGTGTGTGTGCGTGTGCGTGTGTGTGTGAACCATCTAAATAGATGCAAAACTTCCAAACGTCGGTTGCCTTTTTTTAAATGCTTCTTTCAGTCTTTTACAAGGCTTTTTGTGACTGCAATTTCGCAGCACGGGGCCAGGAACCCGTGACTGTCTGTCCTGGCCAACGAAGACCAGACAGCATGGGGGTGTAAACGTACCTTCATTCTCCAGGCAACCGGCTAAGCCTAGAACTGGCGTGTCGATCCTTTGAAAATTCTTTTTCCAACAGTTTCAATTTGGCAACAACACTGGCTATGGCGATGACAGCTCCTTGATACCTTGGTCGGGTCACTTCACTGACCCGTTCCTGTCAGGAGTAATTGAAGTGTTTTTGCACGTAAGATGCACTCCACAACATAATTCGCAATGACAGTTCTGAGCAAGAGTGTGTGTGTGTGCAGCCGCAGCATGCCCCAGATGGTCACATTCGAATGCCATGCCTCCAGGTGCTTGTTCAAGAACAAAGTACCGGGATCTAGAACCAATTCATGATCACAAAGCTCAGACATGTGTCAGCCTGCCACACAAAGTGCCGCGCGGCGTCAACGGCGCCCAAGCGGCGACTAAGCGCGCCACCAGAGCCAGCCCAGTGCCATAAGTGCCACGCCTGCCACGCGAAGGCCAGGTGGATGTCCCCAAGTGCCACGCCTTCCACGCAAAGTGAAGGTGGATGTCGCCAAGTGCCACGCCTGCCATGCAAAGTGCCGCGGCGTCAACGGCGCCCAAGCGGCGACCAAGCGCGCCACTAGAGCCAGCCCAGCACCATAAGCGCCACAACTGCTACGCAAATGGCCGGCTTTAAACCCGTCACTTCGGTCTTTCCCCGAGGAGAAGTGAATTGGACGGCTCCGCAGACCCAGTTCTGTGCCAACGCCACTGAGGGTTGCCCTTGCGATGCTAAGCTGAACATGGCATTTTTATTCGCATAGAAAAGAAACTGTGGATGCCAAGCAGGGCATGAGACAGTGACGCCTCGCTTAGGATGCCCAGTGGGAAGACAAGTGCACTGACTCCTGGGGCTACAGCTGGTGCACTCCCAAGACTTACCCGTGCCCAATCACTTGCGCTGACAACGAGCAGGTCAGATATGAGCTTAGCATGCTTTACCTGCTGAAGTTCTAAGGTTGGTGCTACGCCCAACATTTTATTGATTTGAAGTGACGTTTCAAACAGTTCAGCCAGATGTAGAAAGATTCAGCCAAATCAACTTGATAAAGGGCTTGCGCTTTTGATTTCAGGGATCCAGGGGCTGGGGAAATGTTGTCAGCTGGTTTCTTCAGCCTGTAGTAGTTTGATCATGTCAGTTGTGGATTTGCTGCTGTCAGTTGTGCCACAGCGTCGCCTACCTGGCCAGTGGTGAACCGGACTGGTCCGTGGCTGGAAACCAGATCCTTGGCGAAGACCAGTGGCTGAGGAATTTCCGGGGCAACTGCCCAGCAACACGGGGCCCTTTGGTTGTTGTGGATTCAAGCAAACATTGAACATCACCTGGTATCAAGCTGTCACACCTGTTAGCGCTTCTTTGTGAACTTGTGGCAGCTGTTGAGGATCTAGGATCTAGTCGCTGCATTCTATCTTGACCAGGTACCAATCCATCACGTATCAGGATGTATCAGGAGTTGCTTGACGCAGCTTTGATTTCCCAAGGAGCTGCGCCCCTATGAATGGCAGTTGCCCATGCCACCCCACCTTTGAGGACCGGGAGCCGAGTCTTTTCCTTCGTCCCCACGACACGGCCATGTCTTTGCTGCGCAGGAGCTGTGCACTGACTCTTGGGGCAGCTGGTGTCAATCCACCTATTACGGCTATTCTTGTCCCATAACCTGCGCCGCCGACGAGACACTTGTCGAAAAGGGGGAAGTGGATGATTTTTATTCCCCACATTGACGTGTGTTTTTTTTTTTAGTGCTGTATCCGCTCCTCCTTCCTCCCGCCCTGTCCATCCGCCACAAGCACACCTACACCCCACACACACCACCCACGCCCCACACCCACACCAAGCCCACCACCGCACCCCCCCACAAAGACCCCCACCGACCCCCACACACACCCCCCCGTGCCCCGCACACCCCCACACACCCACACACCCACACACCCACACACACACACCCACACACCCACACACCCACACACACACACACACAAGCTCCTATGCGGTCACGACGACCGCGCTCAAGGGTCGAGGAGACGCCTGTTAGCAGATCAACCCACGTTGCAAGTACGTTGTTCGCTGGCACGGCGTCGCTCCTCTTTGCTGTGCTGCTGGGCAGACCCTTCAACCTAGCCAGTTGGCAGGGATCGTGTGCTGTGGCTGCGGCTGTAGCGTTTGCGCTGTGGCGGCTGCTGTGGCGGCGCTTTTTTGACGAAGACCTGAACTGCCACACAGGGTCACCTGGCTTCTTGACCTCGAGAGCGGACTCTCTGGATTGGTACATTGATTTGATTTTGGTAGTATTTCGGGACCACCATTGCTTTTGGCAACCAGTTGGTATCTTTCAGACTCTTTTTGATTGTTTTGTGACTTTTGATCTTGCGGGCAATTTTACTGGGCACCTCACCACTGCTGGACAATGCGCCCTTTGGTGAGGGTTTTCTGGGTAGAAAGCTGGCACACATTGTTTGTATGGTTGGTCTTATTTTCGTTGTCAACAAGTTTTTCAACACATTTCGACATTCACCAGACAGAGAACATACATTGACTGCATCTCGGTCCCAATTCCGAGCAGTGCCCAACATCAGAGGGAGCTGGATTCTGTGGATTTTCTTTCTACAATTTCTGACTTTTTCAGCAAGAGCACCGTGGAGCGAGGGTTACGCTGTTGACATGGGCAGCGTGGGAGCAGAAGGTTTCCAATGGCGACTTCCTGCAAAAGAACATGTAGAGGAGCTCCAATCGGCTTTAGAGCCTTTGCAAACCAGCACAAACAGAGAAATCAAAAAACGCAGTTTTAAACGAGCTCTGAAAAGAGCTGAGACACATGGATACACGATGTATAAAGGACAAATGTACACTGCACAGAGACTTGGAACTGCATACAAAGGACATCCAACAGTTGTTCCCAAAACACAGAACCATACACCAAGTTCAAAGTTGAAACGCAAACGGTTCTCATGCCTCAGTTGGAATTGTAGTGGTCTTTCACCTTCGGGGTGGGACTACTTTCAACAGTGGATTGAGTGCCAGCACCTGGACATCATTATGCTTCAGGAAACGCATTGGAAGCACACCAGCGAATGGGTGACTGGCAACTACTATGCGATCCATAGCGGCTGTGGTGAATCCCGATCAGGCCTTTTGAGTCTAGTATCCAAAAAACTTTGCACTATGGATGATCTTTCTTGGCAAGAGGTGGTTCCAGGCAGGTTGATGCATCTCAGGGTACATGGGAGGGATCGTGATTTGGATTTTTTGAACGTTTACCAGCACATTCATCATCCAGATCGCATGGAAGACAGAGCACAGTTTTGGATTGCACTTCAATCAGTGATTGCCAAATGCCCCAAACGGAATCATCTCACCCTGTTGGGAGACTTGAACACCTCGATGAGAAGGACCTCCACAGCGGTGGGGTTGGATACGTATTTGTGGCAGGGTGAACGCTGTAAGGGCCCCAATCACTCTGATGCGCACTTCCTGCACAATCTACTCATTAACTTTGACTTGGTTGTGAACAATTTCTGGAATGCACAACTTGGACCAACATATATTTTTGGGACACAACACTCCAGGATTGACTATTTGATTTGTCGACGCTGCCACAGTGATGCTACCTCCAAGAATGTACAGTATCTCTATGACTTTGCCTTGAATTGTCCCTCTGGTGCACACCATGTACCCATGATAGCGACGCTCATCAAGGTATGGCATCCTCACCTTCCAATAGCGCAGACTGGTTGGACACGAGCGCAAAGGCTTGAGCTGTATCGTCAATGGACAACACCTCATGTAGATACTGATGCACTACAGAACAGTATCATTGAAACGGTTGACAACCTTCCACCCCATGGCAATAGACTGGATCACCTGCACCGAGCTCTGAACTCCTTTCCAGCACCACGGAGCCATCAGAAGCATGAGGCAGTTTACAAATTTGACCTGACACCCTTCAGACTCTTCCAGGCTCACAGTGAACATCTACGTGAGCTGCAGCAGCAGAACTTGGGGAATTTTTTCAAGGCCTGGTATCATGTCATTCAGCGACAACAAGCCCGCAAGATGATGCGTAAAACATCTGCAAATGCTCGCAAATGCAGACTACAGTACATCTTTGATGCGGCAGGTCGTGCTGAGGCTGCTCATGATTATTTTCGACTTTATCAGGCCATCCGTGAATTAGCCCCCAAACAGCCTTTCAGAAGGATTCAAATACGTGATCCTGATGGAGCATTGTTGAATCCGACAGCTGCAGCTGACAGGATCCGAGACTGGTTTGAAGCGCTCTACTATGATGCAGAGGTGGATGGAACATGCTCAGCATTTACATGGCCTTTTTCTGCACATGAATTTCAACATGGTCTCACAAGATTGCCCATGCTCAAGGCTCTAGCGCCAGAGTACGCTCCAGCGCCATTTTGGCGATGTGCTGCAAGGCAGATTTCTCAGTTTCTACAGCCCTTTTTTGAAGACAGCAGTGATCACAACAACTTGCCAGGAGAATGGAAATGGGGCACCATTTGTCTACTTCCAAAACATGCTCGGCGATATCATGCGCCGCAGGACTTACGTCCTATCACGCTGTTGGAACCGTGCAATAAGGTGCTCATGGGTAATTTGGCCAATCATCTGTTTGACTCCATAGGAGCTCTTCTGTGTTCAGTTCCACAATACGCATACCTCCCTTTGAGAGGCTGCACAGAGGCACTGGTCAGAATTTTCAAACACTGTGGTCAAGTTAGATCCAAATGTCTTGAACATCGGCATCATATCCAACAGAGAGCACAGGGAAACCAATTGGGGATTCTGGAAGGTGGCGTCCTGGTCACCATCGACCTTTCCAAGGCCTTCGACATGGTTCCCAGGGATGGATTATACAGACGTCTACACAGGCTTGGCGTTCCAGCAGTTCTCATTGATTTCTTGCAGGCAGTGTATTTTGAAACCAGTTTCAAGTTCCAACATCGTGGCCAAACCAGGACATTTCGTACCTCCAAGGGCATACGGCAAGGCTGTAAAGCCGCTCCGATCTTGTGGGCAGCTTATGCAACAGACATCCTACTTGAGGTTTGCATGCAGACAGATGAACATTGGCTTTATAATTGCAATACATTATATGCAGATGATGGTTGCATGCATGAGGTGGTGACCTCACCTGATCACTTCAAGCAGACGCTTCAGCGTATTGGACAGACTTTGGATGCATTGGAAGCTGCCAAACTTGTCATCAATCTGGAGAAAACGTTTGCATTGCTGCGATTGGTTGGAACTGCAACGGCAAAAACACTCAAAAACCATACGATGAGAACCACACATGGAGTCTTTCTCAAAATTCCTAGGACTTCTGGAAATTTCACACTCATCAAGTTGGTTAAGCAATTTCAATATTTGGGTGCCACAGTCAGTTACTACAACTTTGAGCGTGCGACGGCATTGGCACGGATCAAGGCCAGTGAAAAAACTGGACAACAGCTACACAGATGGCTCCATTCAACTCGAAGTCTCAGTGGGTCGCAGAAATATAAAATTTGGAAACAATGTGTCTTTGCACCCATGAGGTATAGCTTGTTGGCAACTGGAATGACTTTTCAATCAGCCAAACTTATTGACACAGCATGCCTCAAACAATTGCGCAGACTCTTTCGTGAACCTTCTCACCTTTCACTTACTTCCAATCAAGATTTCTTGCGCCGACACAATCTTCTGGAGCCGCTATTGCAGCTTGTGGCATTTTGCCAAACTGCCCTGGAGCGGGAAGCTCAACGTGACAGCCAACTCAGACATGATGATATACTACTGCATTCTGCCCGTATTGACTATGAACAACAAATGCAGGTGCTGACGGAGTGCTGGTATCTCCAACGGCAGCGCCAGTCACAACAAGTGCCGGCATCGCCAGAGACTCAACTTGTCTGTCCGGAGTGTTGCATTCCCCTGGACACCTTGACAACACTGAGGAAACATTTGA